ACTGATCATCGCAAAGAGAAAAAACCCCATTCAGACCATCATTTTGCGATCACAAAAAGATAGTCGTAATGCGGTTTTGTAATGCGGGGCAATTGTAATGTGAGGCATCACTGTATATTAATGTGTTTTAATTGTAAGCTGCCCCGAGTAGACTTTGTCTAGAGGGGTGGGGTAAAAATCCAATAAAAATAAATAAATAAATAATAAGACCCAATAATTATATGAATAGTACAGGCAAAAGCATCACAGAAGACAGCAGCAGCCACCGTAGATACTGGAGACCACCATGTGACTGAAGCTATGCAGGCCTGGGAGCACCTAAAAATCCCACCAATTTTACAATACAAGAAAAGATAAAAATATAAGATAGATTTCTGTCTTGAGAGAAACCTGCTATCTTGCAAACACTCTAATCAGGAGAGACACCAACATATTTCTCCACAAGCCTCTCATCATCGTTCTGCTTGTAAGAGTCGATCTGTTACGGTAACGGTTCTTCTGTGCATAAAGTAGCCCTAGCGACATCTCCACTTCTTCGTGACGAGAGGCACACGTTTACCGCATTTTAAAGGACGACTGGTTTCTCTCCCCCCCCCAACTGCTCGTAAACAAAAGGCTTAAGGTGGCAGAGATCCCCACCACCGGGGGCTGCGGGCAGTGGCGCGACTCACCGGCATCCCAAGAAGACGTGGTTGGCCCACACCATGGAGAAGGAAACGAGGCGCCGCAGGGCCGCGCTCTCCCGGCCGTCCTCGCCCTCCGGGGCCAAGGGCACGGCCTCCGCGTTTCGCATCAAGAACTCCCGCCGATACCGCCAGTGTCGCTCCGGCTCACACGCCCCGCGCTGCTTCTCCACCCACTCGAACTCGGCACCGCCCGCTTCCTCCGTTCTCTCTTTCCCCGGGTCGGCCATCGAGTCGGGCCCCGTGGCTGGGGCGGCTTCCCCGTCGGCCATGGGCCGCCGGGAACCGTTCCTTAGCAGGTGGCAGCCTGTCCCTTGCCACCGTTCGCCCTCCGACACGGGACCTGCTCTGCTCCTCTCCTCTCGTCGTCGTCGTCGTCGCCGCCGCCCGCCCAGGAAACCGCGGGACAAGCGGCCCTCTTCCGCTCCCGAGCCTGCCGCGCTCCTGTTGCGACTGGGGTGGCGGTTGCTGAAACGGCTCTACCGGAGAGAATCATATCAGAGCGCCGAGTTGGCCCGCCCAAGGTCCGGCTATCCATTATGACCTCACTTCCGGTACTGGAGGGCTGGTTCCCGTGAATGCTAAAGAAAGACATTTCCTTCCCATATTCCGTCGAGGTTGCCTATGGAAACCAGTAACACAAGGACAGCCCAGACTTCCGGCTTCCGTGTGGAGGTTGTTTATAGGCAAGCAAATAGCATAACATAAAATACGAAAGCCCGGTTTCTCACAAGTATCTATTGTGCCTTTTCATAATTCCTTTACATCAAAACACCCTCAGGTATAAATATATAGATCGGCGACCTTCCTGTTTCTCTTTGGTCTTTTGCATTTAGGTGGGAGGCAGTAGTGTCTCCATCCTGTCATTGACTTTGGGTCCTCTTGACTCAGCGGCCGATTCGCCTTTGTCCGCCTCTCGCAAACTGTGACGTAAAATTGACTAGAGCGCCCTAAGCGAGGGGATGCTCTTTTTACATACAGTACTTGCCGTTTGGAGTGAATGGGATGCTGTATGGGGATCTTTCCAATATGCTGGTCATAATAGTGGACACCGTTCAGGGTAGTGTTAAGTTCAAGCTGGGCTTTCTCTTGGAGCCTGGCTTTTGGTTTACTCTGAAGTAACCCTGCCCTCAACTGCATGCGCCCCACTCCTGAGCTTGCATAGGGAATAGAGCCTACTCTCCCCCACCTTGCGCCTACCTTGCAAGACGGTTGGTTGTTCTCGGTGCTGCTGTTTCTCTCCCTGTTCAGGTTCACTGGCAGGCCCTATTCAGTCTGATGCAGATTTACTTCAGAGCAGAACAAGGATCAGGCTTCAAGAGATTCCTTAAAGGGGGTGACAGTGGTGAGTTCAGACTGCATAGAGAGAGGGCTCCGTTTCTATAGCCCCTGTGCTTGCAGTATGGTGTTAACAATGTTGCCCTGTCTTACCAGGGTAATGTTAAAGATTGCCTCAGTCATTCAGTTTGTTCATCAAACCCTTTGATGCCTTAATATTATATGTCAACTTATCTTTAATAACAATATTCCAAGCTGCTGCTGCTTCTCCTCCTCCTGCTCCTCCATCATCATCATCAAATAATGATGCTGTTTTTCAAATAATGATCTTTTCCAGGGTTTTCCAGGTAGAGAATACTCAGAAGTGGTTTACCATTCCCTTCTTCTGGGGACTCTGCAGCTGGCCCAAGGCTACACAGATTCGCTCTTCTTCCCAGAGGCACAGTGGGAAATTGAATTTCCAAATTGTGGTTCTGCAGCCAGATACTTAACTAACTGAGCTATCCAGCCAGCATATACCATTCATTTAATTGAAAATCATGCTTTATTTTCCAATTCCTTACCACCAATAATCTTGCTGCTTTTAATAAATTTGAAATCAATTCCTTTACTGCACAGTTCCACTGCCCCTTAACAAATACTGATAAAAGCACTATTTTAAGATATACTGTATCTCTACATCTGACTTAGTTATTTCATTCATTTCCTTAAAAATACCTGCCAAAATTTCAGTATATTCTCACATTCCCACCACATACGAAAATAAGTACAGTAACTGTTTTTTGACATCTTCTCCAACACAACTTAGAATAATTAGTATCTGTTTGAATTAATTTCACCTTAGTTAAATATCATCTCCAAAGTAACAAACATTCTTGTATGCCATATATAATCCCAAACTTCAGTACTTATTTCCTCTCCCAAATCATATTCCCATAATTGTAAGATCTTGCTTGTCCTCTGCTTCTATTAATAGTTTATAAAATGTACTATATTCCTTTCATTATCTTATTTTCATCTATAATTTCCTTTTTAAATACTGTACCATCTCTTCAAATATTGTGAGATCCCTACATTTACCATTTCTTTTATACCCAACCTTTGGTCCACTCTTCTAATTGGATAAGATTAAGACAAGATATTATCTCAATTCTTAATACTTTTGTTACTAAATTATTAGGCTGAGATAGAATATTAAATATATGTGTCATTTGATGAGCCATATAATATAACCCTAAATCAGGAAGACTTAACCCTCTTCTTTTTTGAGATTTATAATATATCTCCTTATTAATTCTTGCATTTTAAAATCTCAATTAGAAAGTTTATTAATCATATCTTGCTAATCTTTTCCTCAGTAGACAGAAGAAGTGGATATGAAGGAGAGCTGCCTGGGTGATAAAGCAGAAGAGCCACAGAAAACCAGTGAACAGAGACCCAGTGTAGTCTTTATTTTCTTTGTTCATGTCAGAAGTGCCACAGTACAATTAATAAATTCATCATAATTGTCACCCTGCAACATCAAGAGCATTTCAGGCAGCTAATGACAAATTAGCTGTGTCCTTCAACGTGGTACATGTTGAAGGACACAGAGTACACTGATGTATGTGGGAAGTTGTCTATTCTTTTCCACCCTCAGAAAGGACTATGTTGGTGTGTAAAATTCCATTTTCTTAGGTATGGTTCAGTTCTGCCAACACTGTGTATTAAGTGGCTTCCACACAATTCCATACTCTGTGTGACCACGGACTGGGATTTCCTGGGGTTCCATACATTTCAAGAGGTAGGTAGTTCTTTCTTTCCACGTTATTGTCCTGGAATTCTCTGTCCTTCCTTCAAGATTCACAGATGTTCAAAAAAACTTTTCTTTGATTTTAGTCTGGGAAGGGCAGGATGATAGTTCCCTCTGTTGCTTCGAGTTAGCCATTTAGACAGATTTTTGATGGCACCAAATTGTCACTGATTGATTATGACTACTTTAATTAATTGTTTGCTGTGTGCTTTGGCATATTGTACAATTATTATTCCATACATTTTACAGACAAGTGTATATGTGTTGGATTGTTAATTTGTGGGAGGGGCTAGTTGACAGCGTAAAGCAATTATTAATCTGAATGTGTGGGGAAATATTATTTTTCAGTGTTATTCTAATTGTTACCCCCAAAACATTCACTTTCCCAGTATTCTGAAAACAAAAAAAAAGTTTTTGTGTGCTCAGTAGCTTGTACCTTTGCCTTGTAGAGCAGTGGTATTCACATTAATTCCACTGGATGGCGATGAAGGAGACTAGATCACAACTGTAGTATTTACAAATCTGATACGCTTTTAGAAAATAATTCAGGGGCTGTCTTTTATTTGCCTATAGCTTGGGTTTCAGGAAAATGCTGCTTGATTTGTATTTCTGTTAGGTTTGTAATCACAAATAGCACAGAAGCAGTACCATTTAGTACTATCTGCTTGTGTAGCTCAAGTACATCAAAGTATGTGCAATGTTCTGTTTTATTATTTGGGCAGCACTCCTGAACACATGTGTAAAGAATAGTAAAAATTGCCTAATTCTGGCTGAAATCCAGTAGTAAATCACAACTTGAGTAGGCGTACTGAATCAATGTGGCTTTGCTAGGTAAACTCCTCTGTAAGTACCATTGATACAGTAGGCCTTTTCTGGTTGTGATTTATTACTTAATTTCAACCATTGTGTACTAATTTAAGGCCCTGTAAGGGCTACTTTTACTTCCTGCATGAACACTTAGCCATATGTCAAAGAAAGAGAAAGAAAAGGCCTCTGGTAGTTCTAGGAGAAGTATGTCATTCAATGCCATTCTGCTTGTGGAAAGGGGAAAGTGATTTTGGCCAGTTTCTCTTCTATTCTGTCACTTTCCTGCAGATACTTGGAGCAGATTTTGGACAGGCTGTAGGTGGAAGGGAGGAAATAGGGGAACATTGTTAGGATAATAGCAATCTTGCATGCACTAATACTGGGTATCAGTGAGCGGGTGCTTTGCAACCTAATGTGACTGCCACTAACTTGATTGGTAAAGTTATTTTCCAGCCTCTGGCACTGGCATGTGATGAAGATTCCGTTTTCCTTTTTTATCCTTCTGACTGAAACTACAAATGGTCACTGTAAGTAAAGATACCATTTTCTACTAAATAAATTTCATCATACAAAGTACTAGTTTGTGTGCTAAAGAACTTGGGGAAGGGGGGACTGTTGAGACTGAACTGATCTCACCACAATTTCTGTTTTTGTTGTTTTTCTTCCTCATACTCCACTAATTGAAAGAAATAACCAAAATTCCCCAATAAAAATTGCCTCTCCCTCCCATTAACAGACATCAAGAACATTCTTTGTGTAAGTGCATTTTCACTCATAGACTGAAATCCTGTTCTGAAAGTTATGCTGCATAAGGCTAACATTGTCATCAGCTGCAGTGATTTTTTTTAAACAAAATATTTCCAGTTCCTAATTGCTGCAGTTTATGATGTCATCAACCTTATGTGTAGTAACTTATGAAACAGGATTTCAGCCGTTAGATCTTAGGGTCAGATATCCCCAGCCTGATTTCTTCTAAATGTGTTAAACTATGCTTCTTGCGATCTCCAGCCAACCATGATGGGAGCAGTTGGCCAACTTACCTAGAGGACACCGGGGTGAGGAAGATGTCATTATATTGTGAAAAGTGAGTTTTATGACAGACATGGTTCTGTCTTTCTAAAGGGAAAATCTAGTCATTGGCAAAGTGTTGATTCCTTTGGCGTCAGAACTGTTAACAACTGATAGATCTTCAGGCTGAAATAGAAGCACAATCAAGAAAAGTTAATGTGTGAATAATGTGCTGTCAATGGTAAAGAATTTCTACCTTTCTGGTAATATGGCAAGCATTTCAAATGCTGGAGGCAGTTGGGAGAGAGGAGTTTCTAAGCCAAATAGAACTTGCCATGTTTCTTTACAAGACATGTTGTGGGGGACGGGGGAAGACAAAAGCAAAATAAGAGCATATGACAAGGGTCAAATTATAAATTATAGAGAGCATGTCATTACATGATGAGTCCTCTAGGTTTTCAAAGCATCTGACTGTTGCAACAGGAGCTTTTCACACGTTTGATAGTTTGCAGATTAGCTTGCTTTGTTTTATGACTGGTCATCAGAAGGCAAGAAAGGTTTTATCAGCAAGTGCAATTGCACAGACATGAAGGTCTAGGGAATCACATTTCTTGAACATGAAGGTGATTTTAGTTAGAATAATATGCCACCAGTGGCATAT